ATGGTTTAAAAAATTTTTTTTAAGAAATGACATCTCTATTGTTACAAAAATGAAATTTAAAAAAAGGATAAAGAATTTTATTTTATATACCCCAAGGGGCCTTAAAGGGCGTTTTGAAGGGACGTACCCAACCCTAACCTCCAATTCATTCACTACCTTACTGTTTCCTGCTTTGGACCAACGGTTTAACGTCTCTTCCGAAAGACGGAGCCCAGTTTTCTCCGCATCTTGCACGGAGGGGCGCGGTTTTTCGGAAAAAAACTTTTCCATGTTACATGGCTCTAGTGGACTCGAACCTGGTTCCTCAGATTACGAGTCTGGCGCTCTACCACTAGACCACACCGACGCCCTTACAAGAATGAAATTTATTGTAGAGATAAATTGCATTTACCTTCTTTCCAAACTCGTTATTAATAAATTAACTAGTGCTGTGCAATAAATTAAATTTGCGTTGATTACTTTCTGCAATTTATTCTTAGTGGAAATAATGGTTGGTAACAAGTAACCATAGCTGACATTAACTTCACCCTGAAGAGTATCAAGTGCTTCTGCGATTGGCTCAGTGCATTTGACGTATTCCTCTATAAATCTATAAAATTTTAATAATATATTCACAATTCAGTTGAAAAATTTTTATTTGCATGTATTCCAAATTATGTATATGTATATTAATTTCTAAAAAATTACATAAAGTCGCTCGTTGTTAAAGGATCTGCAATTTCTAATTGAACACACAAGATCAAGAGTTTGTCTTTCAACTTTATGAGTTGTTTCAAACAGTCAAACAATGAATTCCACCGCGTAGCAACGGGTCGTTTTAGTGCTTCTTCCAAAATTTCGACCATGATTTCATATTGTTTTGGAGATCTCGTCAAGTTCCACAAACTCGTGCATTTCTTGATTATATCGTTGTACAATAATTTAACATTTTCCAGTGAATTAATACCATTCAAGATATCAGTTGTTGCAACTAAATGCAGAGTGTGGCTAGCACATCTTTGATGAGGAGGTAATAATGGAGAAACAATTCTTTCAAAGGACATTGTTTCTACAGACTGACGTTCATTTTGATCTTGTTCTCCGTATGCTTCGATGTAGTC